AACAGGAATGGCAGGTGTGTCTTCTTTTACAAGTGAGAATTTAAGACAGTGTTGCTGTGTAGGACTATTAATTGTAGTCCTGGAGAGGAATGTAGAAGCCTGGCCTAGGGTCTTGAATTGGGAGAAGATGGCACCAGAGATGCTAGATGACTACCAGAATGCAGGGTGCTTCTGTGGAGAGTGAGTAGAATGTGATTTGGGCTGGAAAAGAGAGGTTGAAAATGATTCTAAGTTCAGTGGGTGCTTGGTGAAACCTGTTTTTTTAAGAAAGAGGTAAAGCGTCAATGATGTAGGACTTGTCTAGCATTTATTTGCAAAGCCCTGGGTTAATTACCTAGCCTTAGAGAGAAAAAAAGAGGTGTTGCAGACCAGTTTATTTTGAACAGGATGATTCCCAATTTTACAGATGGCTTAAACTAGGGCTTTTAGGGCTAAACAACTTTTCTTATGTTACCATATCAGTAGGAGGCCAGAACTTCCAGATAGATTTTAGTGTTCCTTTTTTTTTTTTTTTTTTTTTTTTTTTGTGGAACCAGGGATTGAACTCAGACCCTTGCACTTGCCAGGGAAGCACCTATTCTACTGAGCCATCTCCCTGGCCCCTAACTATCTTCCTGCCCCCACCCAATTTTTTTTTTTTTTTTTTTTTTGGTACTGGGGATTGAACTCAGGTCCTTGCACTTGCCAGGGAAGCGTGTATTCCACTGAGCCATCTCCCTAGCCCCTCCCCCAAATGTTTATAAAAATATAAAAATAAATCCCTAGTCGTGACCCCAGAAAATCTCAAAAGCTTTCTCCTTTTAACAGCTTTCTGTTGTTTCTTCCCTACCTCAAGGAACCATCATGTCATCAGAATCAAGTAAAAAACGGAAGCCCAAAGTGATCCGCAGTGATGGAGCTCCAGCAGAAGGAAAGCGGAATCGATCTGACATGGAGCAGGTGAGTCAGCCACAACTGCTGCACCTCTGGGAGATTGCAGCTCATGACCAGACACCTGCCAGTGAGTTTGCAGCAGCTCAGGGTTGCATCTAACAGGGACCAGCTGACTAGAATTGCTGCAATTCTATGCAAGCATAACTGCAGTATCCCAAGAGCCAGCAAGACTGTATCATACATGATTAGGACCTCCCCAGAGAATGTATTCAATGTGCTGTGTCTCCATTTTTCTTTTTTCTTTTTTTGCGGAACTGGGGATTGAACTCAGGCCCTTGCGCTTTTCAGGGAAGTACTTATTCCACTGAGCCATCTCCCTAGCCCTCCATTCTTCTTGATAGGCAGAACGTTATGTCTGAAGTACAGCACTGTAGCTTCAGAGATCTTATATATTGGGGGCTGCTGCTGAGAGGGTGACTTTTCTCTTTACTGAGACAAAATACCCAACATTCAAAAGTTAAAAGACAAAAGGTTTATTTAGCTCACAGTTTGTAAAGGATTCAGTCCATAATTGGCCAGCCCCAAGGCATGGTGACACATGGCGAGGGGCAACCTTTCATGGTGATGGAAGATAGCAAAAACAATAAGAAAGGGAGACTTAACAGCTACTTTCTGCCCCTTTTGTATTGTATCTACTTTGTGGGGATTAGGACAGTGCCTAATCCAATCAGGGGACTGATCCAGGAACCATCCACTTTAATCCCAGCACCCTTAATCGCAACATTGCACTACAAATCAGTCACACTAGATTCAGACACCTCTGAAGAAAACTGACTGCAGGAGGCTTTGGGGGACATCTAGACACAGACCATAACAGAGGGTATCAAACCACATGTCCACATGACCTCTGCTACAGCCTGAGAGCTGTCATGGTCAGTAAATTCTTCTCTTTTATCTGTTTCTCAATTGAATGTGTCAAGCTAATTCCATGACTTAGCTGTTTTGTTTGGCAGGTTGTATTTTTGTACTTTTTGTTTGTTTTTGGTTCTGGAGATTGAGCTCAGGAGTGCTGCATGCCCAGCCCTACCTACTTATTCACTGATTTATACTTTTTTGGGGGGGCGGTGTTGAGACAAGGTTTATGTAGTTCAGATTGGCATTGAACTCACTTTGTAGCCCAGGCTGGCCTTGAACTCGTGGTGATCCTCCTGCTTCAACCTTTCAAGTACTGGAATTACAGGCATGTGCCACCTTGCTCTGCTTATTTATACTTATTGAATCCATGGCACTGTGCATGCTACTCTAGACAAGCACTCTAAACCATATCCCTAGCCCTTTATTTTTTTATTTTGAAACAGGGTCTAAGGTGCCCAGTATGGCCTCCAACTTGTGATTCTCCCACCTTGGCTTCCTGAGTAGCTGGGATTGCTGGTATGCATCATCATGGCCTACTTGTTTGGCTTCTTAAAGGCAGAATAGGGAAATAATACCAGCTTCAATTTGAATTAAAGGATGGGTAGGGGTGCAGGGAGTGGTAGAGTACAGGTTGAGCATGTGAGAGGCCTTGGATTCAAGCCTATCATTCAAAAGAAAACAAAATGTACTGCAAAAACAATTCTTAGCACTTGGATTTTTAACTTGTGGACAAGTTTGTGTAAGCAAATACAAAACATAAAACTTACGGGCTGGGGAGATAGCTCAGTAGAATAAGCACTTACCTGGCAAGCACAAGGGCCTGAGTTCAATCCCAAGTTCACCAAAAAAAAAAACAAAACATAAAACTTCCTTTGCAACCCAGAACTCAGTCAGTGTTCATTGTTGGTTTTGATACATATAAGAAATATTTATAAATAACTAAAAGAAAAGAAATATGTAAAGAAGGAAAAGAAAAAAAGTACTACCCTTACATTTAAGAAATTTTAAAAAAGAGAGGGGCCGGGAGATGGCTCAGTGGAATAAGTGCTTCCCTGGCAAGCGCAAGGGCCTGAGTTCAATCCCCGGTTCTGCAAAAAAAGAAAGAAAAGGAAATTAAGATTGATGAAGAGCTTTACCCTTTTTTTTTTTTTTAATTTTTTTTTTTTGTGTGTGTGTGTGTGTGTGTGTGTGTGTGGCCAGCTCAGCCCACCAGGGGGCGGGCTGGCTGGCATGTGGTGCTGGGGGATTGAACCGTGGTCCCTGGGCTTCGCTAAGCTTGGTCTAAGTAGGTGCTTCAGACCACTGAGCCATCTCACCAGCCCAGCCTTACCCTTTTTAAGCATTGATAGGACTGTTAATTGCCCTAGAGAGTAATGTAGAGACCTGGCCTATGCTCTTTTAAATTCTGTGTTTTGTTTGCTGCAAAGGCTGGGAGACTAGGTAAGGTATTTTAATTTCTTCTAAAGCTACAGTTAACCATCTAAATACCAACCAAATTCAGTAGGAATTTGGTTACAGAAGTTCTGGCTTATCTCTACTGTCGGCTATCATGCAGCCATTTTGATAAAAATCTGTATTTATTTGGACTAGAAGTTATATTAAACGGCATAGATAATACCCCATGTAGCTTAAAAATAAAATGCATATTCACAGTGTTCATAATAGATTTGTGGAATTATAGGCAGTTTTTCATTTTCTTTTTCCTATTCCTATGTTCTAAATCTTTGACATCAACCAAGCATTATTTTGTAATAAGAAAGATAGAAGAGGCTTATAAGTTGGAAATAAGCAGAACACTTCATTTGAAGACCAGTTTCTTTAGCCACTTGATTTGTTCTTATATAATGAGAAGTCTCATCCAAGAGTCAACAGCCCCAAATGGGATCTTCACTCCTTACCCAGCACCTCTTGCCTTGTTCCACAGGAAGGTAAATACTACAGTGAGGAGGCTGAAGTGGACCTGCGGGACCCTGGCAGAGACTATGAGCTGTACAAGTACACATGCCAGGAGCTACAGAGGCTAATGGCTGAGATCCAGGACCTGAAGAGCAGAGGTGGCAAGGATGTGGTAAGCAGTGTGGCCGGGCAGCTCTAGGCAGCTCTGCACCAGGAGAGGGAAGGGTATCAGGTCTGCACAGACAGGGCTCCATTTGTACCTCAGGAACCCTTCCTAAACTTGCTGTCACCAGCCAGTCAGTTAATAGGCAGGACTTCAAAGACTCCAGGTTCCAACCACCTGATCATGGAGAAGATCATGGGTCTCTAGTGTGTAGACAATTCCCTGCACTCTTTTGTGTTTGACTCTTTGGGTGAACATTATAAAATAATCCTATAAATTATGTTTCCTACAACAATCATGATGATCTCATGATGAAATTATCATTAATGTTAAATGGATAAGCCAGGCTTTAGGGAAAAATTAAGCAGTGTGCTGTATCTAAAAACTAGATAGGGGGCCAGGGAGATGGCTCAGTAGATTAAGCACTTCCCTGGCAAACTCAAGGGCCTGAGTTCAATCCCCGGTCGCGCAAAAAAATAAATAAATAAATAAATAAAAACTAGTTGGATAAATTCTTTTGGGTAATTGTACTTTTTGGGGGGAGGGGGTGGTTTTTGGGATTGAACTCAGGACCTGCTTGCCAGGCAGGTGCTTAAGCCACTGAACCATCTCCCCAGCCTATGGATAAGTTTTTTATTTTTAAAATTTATTTATTTTTTTACAAGCAGAATATATTTATTGAGAGAAAGAAAGCTCCTGTCCCTAGAGAGGGACAGGAGGGGGGCCCAAGCGGGTTGTTCCCCCAGGAAGTTGTCTCTTCCAGGGACTTTTATAGAGGAAAACCATGTGGTGAGGTGGGTTTAAGGTAGTGGAGAAGACATGGGAACTTGCTTAGTTGGGCATGAGGTGGGACAACATTTGAAACATAAATTTGTTACCTAAGCAAGTCCCAATTCAGAATTTATGAAAGAAAAGCAAACTCATACCTCCGTCCAATGATCTCGGTGAGAAACTCCAAAATGACACAGGGAGAAAAACTGGTCTCGGGTAGGTGACCTCCAAACAGCATAGGGAAAAACGATCTCTGGACCTGACCTGCACGAGTTTGTGTTCTCTAAAACCGAAGAATGAATTTTAGGAACAAATGGAGGTTATGAGCAGAATATATTTATTGAGAAAAAGAAAGCTTCTGTCCTGAGAGAGGGACAAGAGGGGGGGCCCGAGTGAGTAGTTCCCTGGATAAGTTTTTAAAATTTTGTATTCCCTCCAGTAATCTTTTTTGTGCCTATGCTGGCCAATATCATTAAGATTATTACATTATGGGGGCTGGTGAGATGGCTCAGTGGTCTAAAGCACCTACTTAGACAAGTTTAGCAAAGCACAGGGATCGCAGTTCAATCCCCCAGCACCACATGCCAGCCAGCCCCTGCCCCCTGGTGGGCTGAGCTGGCCACACACACACACACACATACACACACACATAAATAAAAAAAATAATAAAAATTTAAAAAAATAAAAAAGATTATTACATTATATCTTTTATTATAGCCAAACTTTGTAATTTTTTTGTCATTTAAATAATTTATAATGCTGTGTGTCTGGGATTTTTGTGTAGGGTGTGTGTGTGCGTGTGTGTGTGTATGTGTGAGAGAGAGACAGGGACTCACTATATATCTCATTCAGGCTAGCCTTGAATTCACTGTGTAGGCCAACTATCCTCTAACTCACAGTGATCTTCCTGTCTCAGCCTCTTGAGTGCTGAGGCACCACCAGACCTAGGTTTTTTTGTTTTTTTTTTGAAGGTAAATTTTTTTTTTTCTTTTCAAAGTTTTATTGATAAACAGATAGCAATGAGACAGTTTCAAATCAAATCGGAAGTACAGTTTCAACAAATAATACGTTGCATATATTCTTCTTAGTGGTTAATTGCTGTACAAGATGCGGACTTGTGATCCTATTTACAAACACCATTAGAAAAAATCATTCTATTCATTAAGAGAATGCAACTATATATCTATCCCAACCACTTTGAATACACAGATACAAAATGGACATTCATAGTTATACCCCATTTTTTTTAAGTTCCGTTATTGAATATTATAGGTGTGTAAACTCAGCAAAATATTCTAAAAGAGTCCAGTAGCCCATAATAGACCAGACCTAGTTTATAATGCAATTTACTGAGGCAAAATTTTATGGCTTGATGTTGCCATTGTGAGGGTCTCTGTGCAGGATCTGTGGGGACAGATATTAATTGTATGTTTTCTGCACTTGCTTGATTTTTTATTTCTTTCTTTCTTTCTTTCTTTCTTTTTTTTTGCGGAACCAGGGATTGAACTCAGGCCCTGCGCTTCTACTGAGCCATCTCCCTGGCCCCTTCCATTTTTTATTTCTATCACTCTAGCCCAAGCAGAATTGCTTTCTTTGCCTGAGAACCTTAATTATTTCCTTTATATATCCACCCATCCTTCTGTTTCTCACATGGCTTTTCCCATGGTTCAGAACTTCTTTGAGTGTCTGTTTCTAGCCCTGGAGAACGTGGGTCAGCAGCAAGGGACTGAAGGAAGCTGAGCCAGTATCTGTTGAGTCACCTGTACTGTGTTCTCTGCCTGCAGGCAATTGAAATTGAAGAACGGAGGATCCAGAGCTGTGTGCATTTCATGACTCTAAAGAAACTAAACCGATTAGCCCACATCAGGTTGAAGAAAGGAAGAGATCAGACCCATGAGGTCTGAATTGAGAGGTTTAATTACCCCTGTACCCTCTTTGCCCATTCCCTGATTTGGCTGGTGCTCTGTACCTCTATGACATGCCCCTGCAGACTTGACCTTGTCTTCTTTCAGGCCAAGCAAAAAGTAGATGCCTATCATCTGCAGCTACAGAACTTGCTGTATGAGGTGATGCACCTGCAGAAGGAGATCACCAAATGTCTGGAGTTTAAGTGAGTTTGGGCAGACAGGGCTTTGGTGCACTGGCCTGTGACAGTTGTTTATTCCTACATATCTCAATGTGTATCTATCTCTAAAAAGAAATTAGCTTAGAGGATCTGAGAGAAAGGCTGAGTAGATCACTTTGAGAGGGAAAATTGCAATTGGTAGGTTTTGGGTGCACAAAGAACTAAAGGCTTTTCTGACTTTTTTGAGTTTTGAGCTGTGAATTTGGTTAAGAAGCAGTTTTCTGTTCCCAGAAGGGGCCTTTACATTACCAGTTTGAGTCCTGGGCACATTGTAGCAGGAGCTCACTTCCAATCACATTTTTTCAATCTTTTGGTTTAGTTTTCCTCTGTAAAATCCTAGTACTGTAGTTCATTTTACAAACGGATCCTGTTCTTTGGAACTGGTACTTCTTGCTCCTTAACTGCCTTCAGGTGAACAAACTATGTAGTTCATTAGTATAAAAGGTGAGACTGGAGGCCGGGGAGATGGCTCAGTGGAATAAGCGCTTCCCTGGCAAACGCAAGGGCCTGAGTTCAATCCCTGGTTCTGCAAAAAAAAAAAAAAAAAAAAAGGTGAGACTTCTTGGGAAAAAAAAACAAAACAACAGGATTAGAGATGAGAGATGAAAGAGTAAACTAGAAGAGAAGAGCAAGATTTCCTGCTTGGTGAGACTCCTTTGTGAACACTGGAAGAAGGAAGAAGAGAGGCTTTGTTTGTAACACACTTGGCTGAACAGGGATCATTTAGATGTCAGGTTGCCAGGCATGGTGGTGCGTGCCTGTGATCCCAGCACTTGAGAGGCTGAGGCAGAAGGATTGTTGCAAGTTCAAGACCACCCTGTGCTGCAAAGTGAGTTCAAAGCTAGCCTGAACTGCGTAAGGAGACCCTGTCTCAAAAAGACAAAAAGATGCTTCTCTGGCGAGCGCAAGGGCCTGAGTTCAATCCTCAGTTCCACTGGGAAAAAAAAAAAAAAAAAAAAGACAAAAAAGACATCAGGTCCAGGATATTTTTAGTAATTAATGTTGCTGATTTTTTTTTTTTTTTTTTTTGCGGAACCGGGGATTGAACTCAGGCCCTTGCGCTTGCCAGGGAAGCACTTATTCCACTGAGCCATCTCTCCGGCCCCAGTGTTGCTGATTTTTGAGGGTCATCTTTATTCACTCCACAAATTAGTCACATAGAATTACTTAAATACTATTAAAGGTGAAATTTACATCAGGTTTTTACCTGAATTAATAGTATTGAACTACTGTGCTGTCAGTTTCTTGGTCTCAAGAACATACTATGTTTAGGGGGTGGGGAGAGAGCTCAGTAGGATAAGCACTTGCCTGGCAAGTGCAAGAGCCTGAGTTCAATCCCCAGTTCCACCACAAAAACAAACAAACAAACAAAAAAAAGAACATACTATGTTTAGATGTTACCATTGGGCAGCGTGGGTAAAGAGCACATGCAGGAAATAAACTCTTGGTACTATTTTAAATTTAAAAATTAATTACTAATCTTTTGATGTATAGTATTTGTACATGTTTATGAGACACAATGACATTTTGATTAATTTTGTATTGGGTAGTAATCAACAGGGGTAATTAGCATATCCATCACCTTAGGCTTCTAGCATTTCTCTGGTGAGTTCATTAAAATTCCTCTTTTCTTTTTTGAGATCTATAATTCATTGTTAATTGTATTTGGTCCACTGTGCCATAGAATGCCAGAACATATTCCTCTTGTCAAGCAAAGATATTATACCCATTAATCAGTCTTTCCTTCTCACCTACTTAGTACTATTTTTGAAATTTCTTATGAGACTTTGGGTAATACTGAAATTGAAAAGAATACTGAGGGCTGGGGTGATGGCTCAGTGGAATAAGCACTTCCCTGGCAAGTGCAAGAGCCTGAGTTCAGTCCCCGGTTCTGCAAAAAAAAAAAAAAGAATACTGTGCCCAAGTTTGTAATCATTGGAAACTGGCAAACCCAGAATATTATAGAGCTTGGGGCCTGTGGGGTTGTGGGTGGAAGAGCCATGGACACTGGAATCACACAGCTTAGGTTCACATCCCAGTTCTGGCCACTCAAACTATGTGAACTTGGCAAGTTGCTTACCAGTGGAAACTACCTTCTCATTTAAAAAATGGAGATCAAAATCTCTACATCCTAGATTAGGGTTTTTTTTTTTAATCTTTGAGACGGGGTCTCACAATACAGCTCCCACTGGCCTTGAGCCCACTTTGTTGCCCAGACTGATTTCGAACTCCCAACAATCCTCCTGTCTAGCCTTCCAAGTACTAGGATTATAAGAGTGTGCCACCATGCCCAATTTAGAGGTGTTAGAATTAAATGAAGTTGGGGCTGGTGAGATGGCTCAGTGATCTAAAGCGCCTACTTAGAACAAGCTAAGCTGCCGCATCTCCCGCAAGAATGAAGACCATTCTTAGCAATCAGACAGTTGACATTCCAGAAAATGTCGACATCACTCTGAAAGGACGTACAGTTATTGTGAAGGGCCCCAGAGGAACCCTCCGGAGGGACTTCAACCACATCAATGTGGAACTCAGTCTCCTTGGGAAGAAAAAGAAGAGGCTCTGAGTTGACAAATGG